TTCATTGTTTAAATTTTGAACCAGCCTGGTGTGTTGACTTCATGGCTCCTATCGTACCATTTTGGGCCATAATAGGATGCCTAGGCCTGTTTTTATTTTTATTTTTTTCGCCCGCCTGTTCCATTATTTTTCTAGAAAAATCCGTTTACCAAGAAATTAAATTGGTGTGGCCTAAGAGTCCGAAATGCATGTCGTTGCCTCATGGGGTGAGAGATGGATTAACTGTGATATTGATTGATTAATTGATTAGTTCTCCGGGACGAGGCTGATATTGATTGATGAATTGATTGGTTAGTCAGGGCAAGTGGCACGCGCCCTTGTGCTGCGTAGTTAATCATGTTTCCGTGTGACGTTTTGTGCTGTCATATTCCCCTCCCTTGCCATTTTTATGTTTACCTAAGAAAAACATTTTGTTTTTACTCAGTTCTTCCTCCTCTTCTGTTCCAAACACTACCCTCTGACCTGGCCAATGACATGATTTGTTGACGTCTGTCACCATGGTGACTGGTGTTGGGTTACATAATGTTGCGATTTCATGGTCTGCTCTACTCCTGTCACCATATACTTGTAGTACATGTACATGTATGTGAATGTGTTTGAGTAAAAATTAACAGAGCAGATCATGTCTGAAGGTAAACATTATGCATTTGCTTTGCAAATGTTACTTCTCTAGTCCTCTGATTATATTAACTTTCAGTGTCATCTTCAGATAGTGTCATACATCCTCAATAGATGTATATAATATATGTTTTCTAATACTAGTAATATATTATAAAACATAATCATTATAGGGACATTTTGAAATAAAATGTATCTGTTAATATCTGAAGTTGAAACTTCATCTGTGTTGGTAGAAGTCAACTCCAACACAAGTTGGACTCACCATAAGTTTTTACTCTAGTCTTGGTCAAGGAATATGAAATCCATCACTTCTTTGTTAAAGTAAGTGTGTTGGAAATAACAGTTGGCCTGATTTTAATTACCAATTTGCTGTCATCATGTTTTAACTCTAACTTCCTTGATTTTTACTTTAAAATGTCTAAAAACAAGAAACTGAATTTGTGTGGCCTTACAGTCCAAACTTTACTCACACTTTGTCAGTGTTTTGTTACACAACTTGAAGGAAGTTTTCAGTCTTTGAGAACTACGTCTAATTGCCTTTCTTTCTGGAGAAATACAGGTCTTAACTTCGTTGTAAAGCAATTAAAACTTGATCCAGACGAAATGAAAAAGGAAACTTTCTTGTTGCCTCCAGACTTCGTTTAGAAACTAGCTCCTTCTTTGGGGAATGGAGGAGGAAATGGAAGCCTTTGACTGCAAATGAGGAGAAATGTGGCGATTCTTCACTGTCACCGGAAGCTGGAATTCCTTTCATCCTTGTCTTTGAACTTAAGGAGTTCTATCTAAGACTCTATCAGTGGTAAGACTCTTGGTTCTTGGAGTAAAGAGCAGGATTTGAGATGGTGATGAAGTCTATATGAAGTTTGAGACACATATCATGTGAAATCTGCAGCTCAATTTCTTTATTCTGATACTTAACGAACTGGGAATGGTTCTACTACTTTCCCGAAAGTTCATGACAAACTTTTACCTAATAGTATTTCAGTTAGAGAGAAACTTTGAGCAGTCTTTTGAGTTGTGTTTTTGGCTTACTTTTTTCATCATAACTTTTAATGACTGTATAAATAAGCAACACCAATGTCAGGGCAACACATAAAATCCTAAGACTTACTCCAAAAAAGACTTCCAAAGATTTATAGAAGTTAAGGTCTAGATTTTATAGCTGACTATATAGACTTTAACTGGCACTGCCGCCTAGATGCTTGATCTAGTACCCACAGTGGTAACATTTCTGGGAGTCAGAGAAGCCAGACATAATAAATCTGCTGGCTTAAATGATGGTGTGGCAGAAAGTTCTCCTTCTGCACCTGAACCCTACACTGTGGGAAAATTCTGGTGAGAACCCTGTTAATTGTACTACAGAATTGTTTCAACTACAAATTTAAAACGCAGTGGCTGTAAAAACCTCCCTTTTAATGTAGACTTCTGAATAAAACCCAATGAAACCTTCACAATCTACAGCAACGAACAGAGGGGTAGAGAAACTATTGTACGCTAATGGTTATTCTAATAAAGTTTCAAAGTTTACTACAGAATTGTCGCCATCATGAATTTTAAACCCAACAAAAAACTCCCTTTCCCTCAAACTTCGAAATAAAATCTCTGCAGAACTTTAACGATTTACAGCAATGTGAGTTCCACTCTGCAATAGTAAGCTTACATTGTGAATTCATGACAAAACAAATATATCTGTAAGTTGTATAACTTACTGTAGTACAGAATTGTTCCAATCACAAATTTTAAACAATGTAAAAACCTCCCTTTCTCTACAATTGTAAAATAAAAACCACTGAAAAACTTTCACAATTCACAGCAATGGGAGTTCCACTCTGTGATAATAGGCTTACATTGTGAATTCATGAAAATACAAAATAATAATCTTTGTTTTATGACTTACTTTAGTACAGAATTGGTCCAATCACAAATTTTTACACACTCCCTTTCCCTCAAACTTCGAAATAAAACCACTGCGAAACTTTCCCAATCTACAGCAATGCACAGAGGGGGAGAGAAACTAACAAGTCCTGTTGTTGGCAATTTGTCAACCCGATGTAATTATCAAGCAAACGACAAGAGAAATTTATACGAAGATCGTCTTATGAATTCTAAATAATTGATGCATCTGCCATAGTTATACTCCCATAATATGTATCTACATACAATGATGGGGTATCTAGAGGCTACAGTAATGCAGTTCATAGGCTTTAAAACTTTTTGGGATTCAAGAAGAATAAAAATCTAAAACAATATCAGCCCCTGCAGTTCCCAAAAAAGCTGTTAGGGGGACCAAACTACAAACTACAATACCCAAGAGCTATATGCACCGGAAAATTATGACCAATACATAACATGTTCAGAATGCAAGATATCAAAACTGAAAGAGGCTACAGCAATGCAGTTCATAGGTTTTCAGACTTTCTGGGTTGGGAAAAAAAGGATTATGAAAGAAAAAGTCTGAAACAATATTGGCGCCTGCAGTTCCAAAAAAGCTGCTAGGGGGACCAAGCCTACACCATTTCCTTGTGAGTACAAGAGCTATCTGCCACTGGAAAATCATGACCATAGCATGTTCAGAATACAAGATATCAAAAGTGAAAATGTTTTAGAAAAAGTTTTAGTCTTAGTTAATATTAGAGTTTTAGTTTCTTAATGTGCAGTACTATGGAAAGCTGCCAGAGGGCCCAGAATCTAATCATTTCTCCATTTTGCAGACACCTACCAATGTACTAAATATCAAGACAATCTACCTATCCTAAAATTCCTTTCACTCATGATCATCTTTTAAATACAAGCAGCTGGCAGTTTACAAACTTTAAGCTTCTACATGTTATATATTAAGTAAATTTGCATTGTATTCTTAAAAGTAAGATTTTTATGCATCCTTACATAGTTACAATTGTTAGGGGCCTTCAAAGGGTTGTAAGATGTATCAATTTAAGTTGTATCAATTTAAAAACTGATACAAATGTAACAGTACGCAGACTGGTGCAGTCATTACTCACACTAATTGGACCATATCAAACCCTGAAACAAAGACAAGATGAATTCCTCAATTTCCAGAACCCTCTACAGAGGATAACTGATAAATATGTCAGGGTAGAGACTCAGATTTGTGATTTTGCTGGCAGAGATCCCGATTGGAGTCTAAAAGGAGTGTCACAACTTTTCAATGATTGACCTAAATTTTAAGGATGCGTAAATGGGAAACCACCCTAACACATTAACTGTTCTTTACTCAAATCAGAAATCTACCAAAGTCTCTACCCAGACATTTATAAAGCTTCTGCTGGTATCACTTTTGGCATCTCTCCTCGGTACTGAAAACTGTGGTGCTATCAGTTATTTTCTTCAAGCATTTCAGTTTTCACTTGTTTGACAATCAATAAATGTTAACCTGTGCTTTCCCATACATGTAGCACTACCACCAAGCTACAACCTGTATATAAATGGCTTTAATTTCAAAGAAAACTGTGTAAACTATCTGATTCCCCTACCCCTGGCACAGAGGAGACATATGCAGCCTGTATTAATGGTCTTTCTGCCGGGAAATCTGCTGATTGTGCCGCAAAATCCCATAATTAAAACACACTCAATCCCGCCCTAACCCCCAACGGAGGTGCCTAAATTAAACCCATTATTCTCATAGCCTGCAGTTGTCAGAGTGGTGGAGGTTTGTCATCATTATCTGTAGCTTCGCAGCAGGAAAGCATACTGTTTTTGCTCTGTTTCTTCTTCTTCTTCTCCAAGCAAAAATATATAAGGTCAATGATCTGAACCAGATGTCTGTCACCATGGTAATTGTTAATTTTTGCAGCCACACATTCATTCTACAGCCTGCATAGGTTGTACATTTTGTACAGTTGTCAGGGTTGTGTGGGTTTTGTCATCATTATCTGCACCTTCGCAGCAGGAAAACATATTGTTTTTGCTCAGTTTTTTCTTCCTCTTCTTCTCCAAACAAACAAATAAGGTCAATGACCTGGACCAGATATCTGTCACCATGGTAATTGGTGATGTAGCAGACATGTTTTGTCATTATTATCTGAACCATCGCAGCAGGAAAGCATATTGTTTTTGCTCTGTTTCTTCTTCTCCAACAAACACTTAAGGTCAATGATCTGGACCAGACGTCTGTCACCATGGTAACTAGTACTGCAGCAGACACCCTGTGGTGTTGGGTTACATTATGTAGCAGGACAGACATTTTGCTAGAGGATCAATATATGACAAGTCTGAGGGGGAAGTCTGTACAGATATATGTTGTTGCTTTTGTTAGCCTGTTCTATGATATTGCACTAAACTGAAATTAGTTAATTAACTAATTAATTCATCAATTAATCGATCAATCAATCAATCAATAAATTAACTTGTTTGCTGACCTTGGGCAGTAGGAATTCGCCGGGAATCTCGACCTCTGCTGTCTGCATGGAGAAGTTACTCAGGAAACGGCACTTCTCTTCTATCAGGAATGACCTGGAGACAATCAGATATACGAGAGGACTTGTTTGAGCCTTTATTTATTCATTAAACGCACTCACTAACTGATTTACATGTAGCATCTGTTGTTCCCATCTTCTGAGGATTGTTCATGAAATACTTACTCTAACACTTAATCTTACGTAAAAGTGCAGCATCTTAGGATATCAAATATGTATACTGTATTTGAATGAAAGCTCATCTGTGTCAACTTGGTAGAATTCATAGTTAAAATTTCTGGACAGTCCGCAAAGGTTAATGTATTCCACCGAAAATTCATGGTGAGTCTTCCTTTTTGTGTTGGAACTAAATAAGGTTTAAACTTCATAACTATGTATACTGTACTATTTATTACAGGCAGAACTAGAAAGGGATGAAAATACATTGTGCTTACTTTGGCATGAGTTTGGTTCTTGCCTCCAGGATTTTGATCCACTTTTTCAGTTTGGAGATGAGGTTGTGGAGCTTCATGGAGCCTGGAACACTGCAGGGGTACAGACAAAATAAAAAAAACTAGTTATCATTCTGTCAATCAACTAGTTAACTAGCCAACTAACTAAGCAACTAGCCAGGAACACTTCAAGGAGAAAAATCAAATCACACAACTTACCAAGAAGTCAACTAAACAGCCTGACTAGTTAGTTAATAAAAAAAGAAACAAATCCACAGTCCATCCATCCATTGACAAATACCAAACAAACAAACAAACAAACAATCAATCAATCAATCAATCAATCAATCAATCAATCAATCAATCAATCAATCAATCAATCAATCAATCAATCAATCAATCAGTGACCGATTCAGTGCTAAACCTAAAGTCAAAGTCAGTGGTGAACTGTGTTTTCATTCTTTGGAATCAGTGCTTTCAATCTTCTTAGGAAAGTGATGACAGTACAAGTAAACAAACAAACAAACAAACCCACCTGAAGTCGAAGTCGGTAGTAAACTGAGTCTTCATCCTCTGGAAGACTGGATCCTGCGATGTTTGCTGGGCTCGGCGGGCGAGAGATTCTGAAGCCGCGCTCGAGAAGGTGGAGGAAACGTTGGTGACACTTTCAACGCCAACGCCAAACGTGCTGACGAGCTTTTTGACGAAGTTTAGGGTGTGGGGGGTTATCTTAGCGTCACTCACTGTGGAGAAACAAATATTCAAATAATGCCCTATTTAACAAACAATCCAGTATGCTGGTGCAGTGACCTAAACTTAGCTTAGTGCCTAAAAGTGGTCTTTCGATCTTGCACTGAGCAAATTTGTTTTGAAAAACTCTTCCATACCCCACATGCTCCTTCAGCAATAAGAAACGAGCTATATATTGGCAGAACATTTACTAGAAGTACACATTTGTCAAGTTCTCTCCTAACAACCAAAGTCAACATCTTCACTCTACATTCAACCTTGGCCTGTTCACTCTGAGATAAGACTATAGATCTATTGGCAGAACGTTTGATCACAGAACTCAATAATTTAAGAAGAACGAGGAAAAGCAGCTGGAAGCAGCACCTCTGCAGGATTATGGGATATGTTTCTGTATTGATCAAACTTGACGACAAACGAACCAGCATTGATCAGTGGCTATAACTGGACTCTGACTTAACGTTCCAGCTTTACATACACACAGCTGTGGTTGGTTATATTGAATTGAACAACTAGTAACTCCTAAGGAGCTATGTCTAAGTTTAAAGCTATGTTAAGAGCTATCTGATCAAGATACGTATTTCAACCATATTTTGTGATGACAAGGCCACACCAATTTGATTTGTTGTAGTCACTATGGCCTTATGCAGAGGTGGTCACTACCACACTGGTTTGAGTGTAGAGTGAAGACATTGACCGTAGTTGTTATGAAAGAACTTGACTTGTAAAACAGTTATATCTTGGACTTGGATTCTTAAGAAAAATGAAAAAATTGAAAATCATCGAATTCCGTCTCAGTGCTGACATTGCTACGTATGAACTTGACATGTATATTTACAGAATGATGGACATGCACATTGCTATCTACATCTACATGATACTATTGCTATGGAGACACTAACCTGCAGTTCTGTTCTCGAAGGCGACGGAGTAGCACTTTGCCAGCCCCTGCTGCAGCTGCCGTGAAACCTCCTCGTACCAGTTCTCTCGGAACCACACCATCTGGAAACAAACAAACAAACAAACAAGTTAGTCACCTGTTTACCTTTTTCAACAAGTTTTCATATCCTATCATGAAAGTTAATCCGTGTTGGTAGTTACATGTTGAGAGTTAAAACTTTTGATCCAACACAAAAAGTTCTCTCACCTAGAGCTTTCGACCAGTCACTCTGGTCTTCCTCAGTAGACTGACTCAGTGTTGACGTCACACTTCAGAGAAGTCACGTGACAAGCCTCACTGGGTCAGTCTACTGAGGAAGACCAGAGTGACTGGTCGAAAGCTCTGGGTGAGAGAACTTTTTCTGTTGGATCAAAAGTTTTAACTCAAAACAAGTTAAACTTTTTCATATCCTAATTTGCTGAATCATCTGCAACTATAAAAGTCAAGCTTAATACATTTTTACTTTGTAAGAAATAAACTTGAATAAAATTCTTCTAATCAACACCATGACTTATTCTGTGGAACAAGAAAGGGGGAGGGGGGCAGTGGTGTGTGAAGGTCAAGCACAAGGTGAAACAAGTATCCTCCCAGACAGGCTGAGTTATGGACTCCCAAAGCTAACAGATATCGGATCTTAAACCTGCTGGGACGGATCGCAACATGTCTTGGTCATCTCAAGGTCAGTCCAAGGTCGGGGCAAGTGTGGGAGGAGATGTAGAGGTTATTTCATGGATGCTGAGAGAGATATCATGTATCATATATGGGTTGGTCATCCTTATCATTCAGAAAGTTGTAAGTACAGACTTGGACCTCCCCCACACATGCCAATATGCACACTTCAAGTAGTACTGTAGAGTTTTGAAAAATGTTTGTTGAGGGCCATGTACAAGCAATTTCTCATTTCTCGAAGGTTCAGAATAATTTGGTGACAATGACAGATGTAAATGTTACAGTGAGTAGTAACAAAAACCAATCAGAACGTGTGGTAATGTAACATGTTACATGTGAATGTTACATTGTAGCAGAATGTCAGGTAATGTGGCACGTCACATGCATGGAATGTTACATTGTATCAGAATATCTGGTAACGTTAATGTACATTGTAGCTTAGTGTAACGAATGCTTGATGGCTTGTAATGAATGTACATGTACAGAAGAGAGTGATGCCCTATCTGAAGGCTTTTCCCACTAAATAGAAGTGATATGTATCATTGGAATGTCCCTGTCATTTGTACTTGACATTGTACAAATGTAGGTAATGTTGCAGGCTATTTCTGGGTAGGAAATCAGTGGTTAGGAGCTATCAGTGTGTCTAGCCAGCTGATTAGAGCACGAGCAGGTTCTGTCTGCTGAATTAGTTTCCCAGACAGCAGAAATTTACTGAGTGGCATTAGCATGACGGGTTGGTGTACGTGGGAGGCTATTAGAAGAAAGTCAAGGTTGCCAAATAACTTTGAAAATGAGAAAAATATTTCACTAGGAGTTCTAACTAATACAAATTTGCACAGTTTCAAAACAGCTCAGGGTTTACTCAAGGGTACTTTCTCAATGTACTTTATTTAGGCCACACCAATTTTACTTGTTGGTTCTGGGATGCCTGAATTGAGCTGTGGTCAACACAAGACAATATCATTAAAATACAACAACATGCTATCAAAAACCAGTATTATTAAAAATAAAAACATTATGCGTTACACATTGCTAAAATTTGTATTAATCATAAAATTCTTTTGTTTTTCATATTACGCAGTTCTAGAGTTGTAATTATTTTGACAGTCAATTATTGGTAGAGCAGGGATAGTTTCATTTCTCGGTTTTTATTATTTCTCTTACTACTTGAACAAGGATGCAGTAATAAGGTTGTGATTGTGGTTGAGATAAGATGAAGTTGCAGATTATCTTTATTACATGTTTGTGCCCAAAGGGATGATTTTGGTTCTGATTATACTTGGTGAGATTCAAGTACGTGTTTGTAACTTCAGTGCCTAGAAGTCAGCTCATGGTCTTTCATTGAGCAAAAAAGAAAAAAAATACAGACTGAAATATCTTCATGTAACCAAAACCAATGTGAAAATCGAATCACATGTTTCTTATAACAGAATTTTACACATCTCATATTTTACTGCAGGGATTTGAAGAGAAATTTTCAGGCTCTGGTCTTCCATATTTTTATGAATCATAAATATCATAACTAATAGCAAAATGATTTTAAGATAGATTTAATCAAACTTTTATCTACTTTATGAGTGATACTTCTAAAAGTGAAAACCCTGCAGTGTTGTATTATGAACCCAGGTACCCTCTAGACTTGTGTTATGAGCTGTTAAGTTTTTATGTTCTACTTTTAACCTTCTCAATCCTTTGTCCCCTTCCACAGTTATTGGCCGTTACAGTCTCTGTTCCATATCGTCTTTACAACACTGTAATAAGAAAATTGTGGCTCTAAAATCCGTAAAACAGTTTTTCGCGAACGCTTCATTTTTTTACGACATTGGAAAACGAGTAAGAGGCTTATAGTATAACAGGGTGGTGAATGTGCATACACGTGGGTTGGGCCTAAGAAAAAAAATGTTGTGTTTCCTGTTTTCCTAGAAAAAAACTGCCGACCCTAATCTTTTTTGTGTGGACCCCTGCAAGGCACATAAACTTTTTGAGCTGATCGACCTTTTCTAGCTCCATGATCTGACACCTGAGTGATGAAATGTTGTACAATCAGTTTTCTAATATTGACATTGAAAATGTAAGTATCCTCGTGCAAGTTTTTTACTTTGTTAAACTGTATTGTATATTAAGTTGAATCACTAGAGATAAAATTGTAATAAAAAGAGGTAAAAGTCTAATAAAAAAAATCCCTACCTGCTGACCCAAATTTTTTCAGGACTGAAACAGGAAACAAAACAATTTTTTTCCTAGGCCTTGGTTTATAGCCACACGGCTGGGTTGAAACGGTCCATATGCTACAGGGTTTGATGTAATTATTCAACCTTTTTAAACTGTTGGTCATTTGCTTTGACAGACACCAGTGTTCTTGGACTAACAAAGTGTTACATTTACGTCATAATGGGTCATAAACCATAAAACATTTATAGGTCAATCTGGCCGGCTGACGTCATATCAGCTTTTGTCCTCTCGGTAAGCGGTTTTCGCTAATCGATTGTTTTTGTTATAGACACGCCAGGAAATAGAGATTCCAACAAAATGAAATCCTGTTACGTTAATAGAAGCATTTAAGTAGGGTGGGTGGTGGATGTGGCATGTCTGTGTGTATAAGCACATATAAACTCCCCAAAGAAGATTGCTGTCATTTGCCGGTAAAGCGTCAGAGCGATTGGATACAAAATTGCTCGTCGTAAAAGTTGTAATGACGAGGCGAGGTCTGATGAGGTGTGGGTTCTGTCCTTCAAATGACCTTGAAACCCGACACTAGAGGTCATTCCAATAACCATTAGGGATGAAAACAGCTTCTTAGAGTCAGGATTTGTAGATAAGAAGCTCTAAGATCATGTCTTTAAGACTTTTCTCTGATTGGTTAACCAAGACTTAGAAACAGGTGGGTTCTATCGTCCGTTCAACCTTGAAACTCAACCTTAGAGGTCAATCCAATAACTGTTAAAGACAAAGGCAGGTTCTTAGACTGAGGATTTGTGGGTTAGAAGCTCAAAGATTATGTCTTTAAGGCAGTAAGTGTAATTATGCCTTGCCACAGATGGGTATGGCCACATGTGTTGCGGTTAGAACGATTAGAGATTATTGCCTGAAAGAGATAACAAAATGGCCCTGTGAGTAATCTAAACTTGGTTATGATTCCTAAGCTACATTGTACATGCTAGCTCGTTCAAATCTAAGATGGTGTCTTTAACAAGTACAAGTAAGGCCACGCCGATTTAATTCGTTGGTTTAAGGTGAAAATACAGCAAGTGCATGGACATCATAAAGTCAGACAACAGGGAAGAAAACTTAAGCTTGATTGTGAATGACATGTATATTCACTCCATCAAACTGAGCACACCAAAGCATAAACTAAGTTTGACACGCCAGTCAAAATCCCATCACGAAAATACTCTGGTGGTCCCTGTCTCCCACACCAACAATCATATGAGAACTTTTGTACCAACAACTGTTAGTCTTTGGAACAATCTTCCAAGGGAGATCGCTAAGATCAGGGACAGACAAAGATTCAAACGTGAACTTAATTCTTTCCTCAGCGCAAAACTTTGACAGCGTTCTGTCTAGGCAGTCCTGCTGCTAACGCTGAGTGAGAGCTGACATAGATAAAAAAATAAAAAAAGGTTGCGGGTCTGTGTCAGTGTGTACAGTATAATACTGTATATGACTTTTTTTATTATGATCTCTGAATAAACCATTTATCAATAAATCACGAGACTTAACTGCCTTTCATTGCAATAGTAAACAGCCGGGAAAATTTTATCATTTTTATTGTAACTTGTAACCATGGAGACCAGATTTTCCTTGAAAAACTATAAACTTTTGCATAAAACTTTTAAGAGGCTAAAAACGGGCATGTTACATATCCATGGCTACAATGTTGCTATAAAAAGAACTTTATACACGGACTTGTAACATTGGCTGGCTCCAATGTAGCCATGTATGTGTGGCAGTAAAAACAATGCTACATAATAGCAACATGGTCTTGTAATGTACAGCATTTTTATTATCATAATATAAGTCTGAAACCATATTTTTCTTGGCCTCAAACTTCATGCAAAAACCTTTAAATGCCAAAATGGATGTGTGAATGTTTTACTTTTATGTAAAGGCAGGCATGTATTTTAATGGGTTTCATGTTAAGGCTTGCTATAAAAAGAACTTTATGCACAGACTTGCAATATTGGCTGTTTCCCTGACATGTATATGTACAGTCATGTATATGTGTGGCAGTAAAAATGATGTTACATGATGTCAACATGGTCTTGCTACGTAAACTTGCTACAGTCTCATAAACAGTGGGTTGGCTTGCTGTAAGGCATTGCTACACAGTATGTTGCTTGTAACACTGTGACAGTATATCAAATTAATTGTGACAGTCACACTGTGTTGGTTTCCTACATTTGATTCAGATTGTCACACAGCGTATTATGTTGCAGTATCAGATAGCAACACAGTGTGTTGGCTTGCTACATCATATTGCCACCGAGTATGTTAGCTTGCCACATCAGATTTCCACACAGTGTGTTAGGTAATGATACATCAGATTGCTACACAGTCCGTTGGCTTGCTACATTGTATTGCTACATAATAACATGTTGCGTTGTTCAGTGATGGAATCTAACCTGTCCCCAGGCTGAAGGTTGGTGATTGTTTTAGCTGTGAGCTGAGTTATGGAACAGTTAGGATCAGACCCGGCGATCAGAGGAAGCGAAATGGCCCAAATCAGCGCTGGTAAAATGTTTCTCTGGAACAACAGACGCAGTTCAAGCCACCCTGAGTACTAATAGCATCACTGTGGCAATACCACTGTCACAACTTATTCATGGCAAATCTGTTACAACAAAGCCCTAATGTTACATAATGGCAACACAGTGAGTTGACTTGCTACATCAAATTGCCACACATGGCCAGAAACCCTTCCTTCTTCATGGCAAAGCTGCTACAACAAAGCCCTAATGTTACATAATGTTACATAATGGCAACACAGTGATTTGACTTGCTACATCTGATGTAACGACACATGGCCAGAAACCCAGCAAAGCTGTTACACTGGGGCCCTAATGTTACATAATGGCAATATGGGCTTGCATAGGATAACCTCTGTACAGAATAGAGATTGCTACACAGTATGTTGACTTGCTACATGTACATTCGATTGCCACATGTGGCCAGAAACCCTGCCTTATTCATAGCAAAGCTGTTACACCGAGGCTCTAAAGGCAATATACATGTACAAGAGTTGCCAATATTTGCTACATCAGATTGCCACACAGTGCATTGGCTTGCCACAATGTATTGCTACATAAGCTGTTACACCAAGGCCCTAACACAGTCTAACACTCTGCCTAGCAATAATTCACCCTGCACCACTCTAGTCTCAGGAACCAATATGAAAGTTCACATAAACCACCCGAGTTTGTAGCCGACTCTAAACCACAATGACAACATTTTCCTTTTTCCTTAATTAGACAAGGATTCAATGAGACAGGCAGTAATTTTCCACCCTTTCCCCAAGCACAAGCTTTCACCACGTATACAAAGTAATGCTGAGGGACCCAATACGGAACGTAATAAAATTTGTGGCTAACTCTAAACCACGATGACAACAGTTTCCTTTTTCCTTAATTAGACGAGGATTCAACGAGACAGGCGAATAATTCTCCACTTTTCCCTTCAAGCACAAGCTTTCAACACATCTACAATTTAGTACAATGTACAAACTAATGCTGAGGGACCCAATACAGGACATAATAAAATTTGTAGCAAGCTCTAAAGCACAACGACAACACTTGGCTTTTTCCTTAATTAGACGAGAATGCAACTAGCCAGGCAATAATTTTCCAAAGCAGAATTTATGCTTAACTCTTTCTCCAAGCACAAGCTTTAACCACTTCTACAAAACAATGCTGAGGGACTCAATACGGAACAGAATTTGTAGCAAGCTCTAAACCACAACGACAACACTTTCCTCTTTCCTTAATTAGACAAGGATTCAATGAGACGGGCGGTAATTTTCCACTTTTCCTCCAAGCACAAGCTTTCAACAATTTAGTACCATGTTCAAAGTAATGCTGAGGGATCCAATACGAAACATAATAAAATTTGTAGCAAGCTCTAAAGCAGAGCAACAACACTTTCCTCTTTTCTTAATTAGACGAAGTCTCGACCAGACAAGCGATCATTTCCCCCCACCCTGAGCTGTCATCGCGCCGATAAATGAGAAACAATAACGTTCCGATATCACCGGGTGTCGGACAAGCCAGGGTACAACCGTTGCTAGGTAACGGTATCAGGTTACACGCCTGCCAAACGAGCAGTGTTGACGTATGATGCATCGCCACACCCATCACTAAACACTGCCGCAATGTAACAAAAGGCAGAGCCGCCACATGTATGTATGTAGCAACTCCCCCATTGTAACCTTCTCCCCTCCACCGGCAAACCTCATTAAATAGAAATGAGGTATCACTTTTCCGCTGCCTCTGATTAAATGTAGCAACGTCGGGGGGTTTCGGACGCTGCTTTGCTAAATGAGGATCCAGGAAAAATGAAGGTACATCTGTTGGTGGGAAAACGGTCCTACAACGTGTCCCCTGTGCAATTATATTAAGTGAGCCGGCTAAATTATCAGTTTTCACAGTCGGGCTGGTATGAAAGGAAAGCTTATCAAATATGCATATCGCGACGTGTCAGGGTGAATAATAGAAATCAATGTGCGACGTCCGACGCTTCGGTGCGACAACCTTTCTCACCCCCGGGCCCATCCGTCAGGTTCCTACATGGTACACCCGGAGCGAGGAGAGACTACCGACACTCGACGTGGTGCAAGCCGACGCGTGGAAATGGTGTTCGGCTCGATCGTGCTCTTGGTGTACGTGCCTCTCTTTATCCGGGTCCTGTCGGCGAGCGCTTCAACCGACGACGGACGGATGTTACTACCGTGGGCGGAAAAAAACGCGACCCTGGTCCTAAACGTGACACGAATCGGGGCGTACGAGGCGACCCTAACCTGGGCGGCGCCGCGAACCAGACTCAACCTGACAGACGTGACCTATAGACTGTCAGTGGACTACAGACACTACAGACACGAGGCGTGGAAACACATAAGGGATCTGAGCTTCACTGATAAAACTTCCTCCCACCTGCTGAAGGATTTAGAAAGCCACTCGTGGTACCAGGTTTGCTTGTGGATCCATTTCGAAAACTATGGAAACTTTGGAAACTTAACTGGTGACACAAGCGATAGAAAGGTGTGTCGAGAGTTTGTGACAAAACATGTTCTAACGAGAGATGGGATACTAGCGATTTTCGTGGCTACCTTACTGGGTTGTATGATTCTAGCGATGATTGGAACATGTGTTGTGGATGTTTATTTTTACACAATCAAGGGGCACGACAGAGAGAAGGATATTGTGATGGTGCGAGCATCAATGATTCCGTACGTCCAGAAGAACAGATGTCCGTGTCAGGATAGAAACAAACTGCAGAGAAAACAGTCCAAGAAGCAAAAGAAACCGGCCCCCAGTGGGATGTACGGGCTACGAGGAGGCACAATCAAAAGATAACAACGGCTTTACAAAGTTTCCACAACCTGGAGAACTCAAGATTCGACGTTGACGAAGGTTAGACATCCAGGTTATGAGATACGCAAGAAAAACTGTTACTCAAGCAACTGGATAGATTTTGAAAACTGTCAGACGTTTCAAGTAGCATCTACTATTTTTCGTTGGTAACAGAATTTATCCAGTTGTTTGAGTAACAGTTTCCTTGTTGAGAACTCTTGAAGCTTCAGCCACAAGATTCCAAAGGAAGGGAAGGAATTTTTCCAAACTGCTGCTGCCTTTGTGTATATATGATGGAATTCTGAGGAATTTAGGGTGAAATTTACATAAAACTCTTCTTCCAAACATGGGACTTTTCACCACTGACAACAAACTAATGCTGGAGGGAAGTCATCAGAAACTAAAATGTCATCTCTCTTGAGTCTGGAGTTTGGACCAAAAACTATCAACAGCGAAGGAACACTTGTATATGGTTCGGTACTTTTTTCCATGGAAGTTACAAACCTTGCGAGACAAAATATTCAATATTCTAACCTATGCACAACAAAAGCTGCCACGTATCACAACAATAGGTCCCAGGTATCACAACAATAGCACTACAGGTATTATCTGTCTATTTGCGTCATACTTTAAATAATTGATAAGCCTGGCATTGAATACGTGTATGTTCCACTAGGTTCATATAAAGTAGGCTTAGCCTGTTTTGTTTGCCATAATTGTTCCCAGAACAATAGCCAGGTATTTGAACACCTGTCGGGCAGGTGAGAACAAAGGGAACGACAGATACACACCTGTCTGAGTTGTAAAGGTAGCAGACGATTTGTTGTTACACCTGAGCAAGAGTAATGTTCAGTTTGACATTCTTACGAAAAGGTGTTAAAAAACGACTCGTGTCCAGAAAGAAGTTAAGTGGAATTCACCAGGGAGATATCACTTTGTGCTGAAACCTTTGCAGAACTTTTGTTGTGAAAAATTATGCCTGTCAGATATGTTACAGTGGTACTATTATTCTGAACAGACACATGTCTCTTGACTGTATATTTATTTAGGACAGTGCTGTATAACGAGACAAAAAAACTGTCAGTTAATGTTGTAAGTGATTTAGAACTGTCACATGCTTGGTTAACAGAAAAGTTTGGGCTGAATTACATCATAATTGGTCAATGAATATATCACAAAATGATGCCTGTCAGCTATGTTACAACAGCATTCAATATTCTGAACAGATACATGTCTCTTGACTGTATATTTATTTAGGACAGTACTGTATAACAAGACCAAAAAACTGTCAGTTAAAGTTGTAAGTGATTTAGAACTGTCACATGCTTGGATGACAGAAATGTTTGGGCTGAATTAAGACATAATTGGTCAATGAATATTTCACTAAGTGCTTTTTCACGAGGGCAATCGGAAATGTTGTTAACAATTGGGAAGATGGTTCAGGAATTATGTGTTGACATTTTTTGCACGGAAACCAAATATAACTAATTATAAGCACTCAGGTGCTTTACATATGCTTTGCATCGTATCACAAAAGACAATCACGCTACTACAAACAGCTATTTTGTAGCAAAGCTGACAGTCTTCATGTTACTAACAAGTCAATCTTCGCTGCTACACTGCTTCAACTTCTGCTACAATGTTTCAATTTTTGCTACGATGTGTGTCAACTTACAGTATAGTTGTTGGTCCCCAAAGACAGAAGCAGATTAATATGATGACAAAAAGAAGTATATTGTACAATGTGTACTTTGATAGTGTTACCACTTTGGTGTATGACAATCACTATAAAAGTGTTTTATAAAAAAATGTAGCTTGTTGTTCCTTCATTGTGTGTTAGATCTACCATTTTACATGTATGTCATTGCTGTCCAAATGAGGCAATGTGTTCATATTGTGTATCACTCTCCAAGCCAAAAACTAAAGGGTAGCTTGTTTTTGGGCTATTCCAAATGCTGATCAAAATATGAGCTAAGAAATGGAAGGAAATGTCAATATCAGACAAATGTCTTCAAGTATAGTAGGGGCATCATCATTAGATGGCTTTAAACAATGTTTAGAATTAGAAGCTGGTACGTTACGCTGAATGGTGATTATACCGGATATACAGAATAGTTTTGTTTTGCTACACTGAAAATGCCTTTAAAACCTTCCCTTCCTATCCAGGCCCCAGCCCCACTCTATCTCTCCCCTGATTACATTATCCCGTTCTAGTTTACTGCCATCCTGCGTGATTGACTTTCCCAACTCGTGCTGAGGCATTGCCCCTGCATTCCTCAACACACGGCGTTTCATTAAAAGGTCCCCCTTTCATCACGGAAAAGGGACCGATGTGCAGTTGCCGCCGAGTTAAAAATCTGTTACACGCGCCTGTGTGACTTGGTTAGATGTTTCATACTTGCTACAAGTGTTGCCATAGAACAGGTGGCAAAGTGGTCTGCTGTATCTGTATCTGTTTCTCCGTTATAGCTGGTATAACGGCCCTTGCGATTAGGGTTGTTGACTTAAAATCTAAAGCTTCTGGGTTCAAATCCCTGAGTAGAGTGAGGAAATACATGTAGGTGTCTTTCCCAAGCACAAAACACTGGGGCCTGCCAGAACCTACAAATTCTAAGTCATCACGGAAAAGGGACCGATGTGCAGTTGCCGCTGAGTTAAAAATCTGTTACACGCGCCTGTGTGACTTGGTTAGGTGTTTCATACTTGGTTTAATACTTCATATTTGGTGTGATGCTACAAGTGGTGCCATAAAACAAGTGGTAAGGTGGTATTGTGGTTGTTGACTTAGATTCTGAAGGTCCTGGGTTTGAATCCCTAGCAGGTCTTGTTGCTGCTTAGTTAAAAATCTGTTACACGCCACTGTGTGACTTGGCTACTAGTAGATGTTTCATACTTGCATGGTTTGATGCTACAAGTATGTTCATGCTACAAGTGGTGGTAAGGTAGTCTTGTGGTGTTGACTTTGGATCTAAAGGTGCTGGGTTCGAATCCCTAGCAGACAATTAGCCTCTGTAGCAGGCTTATAGAACTGGGGGTTTGGTGGTCTTCGGCTGTTTTCTGATTAGCCTCCGTAGCAGGCTTGTAGAACTGGGGGTTTGGTGGTCTTCGGCTGTTTTCTGATTAGCCCAGTTCTAAAAACGGGGGTAATTCAACCAGGCCGGCTATGTTGTCTATATGCAATCAGAAAATAGCACATAAAAGCTCCCAAAGACCCTGAAGACCCCCAAACCCCCAGATGTTGGCATGCTATGGACGCTAGCAGACAAGGTGGTCTAGTTTGTTGTTAGGGTGGTTGACTTAGAATCTGAAGATTCTTAGTACTTGGTTTGATGCTACAAGTGGTGGCAAAGTGGTCTTGTGTTTAGGGTTATTAACTTAGATTCTAAAGATTATGGGTTCAAATCCCAAAAGGCAAGGTGGTCTTGTGATTATTAGAATTTTAAGGTTCTGTGTTCGAATCCCTAAGTTGGGTGAGGAATAGGTGTAAAGTCACTTTCCCAAGGGTACAACATTGGAGCCTGCTAGGGACTCAAAACCCAAAACCTTCAGATTCTAAGTCAACAACTCTAACCACAGACCACCTTAAATTGCCACAAGATGCCTATCCATAAGTCTCCAAGGCTATTCTGTTTCTATTTAAAACCACCTTGTCTCCTACTTGTTATGCATCCTACTGATGAAGGGGTGGGTGGTTATGCCTGCCTTGTCACTTTTCACACCTCATCCATTGTAGGTGTGTCCAAATTGTAGGTATCAAAATGGACAATAATCATTATTTAATATCTATAATGGCTGTTCCAAGGACAGCCTTCTCTTTGGGGTATTGACCGATTCTACCAACCAAGGCCATCTTTTGACACCATATTTTTTAAATATTAGTATCAATATTATCAGTACTAAAATATGTAATGATGATATTGCATTTGTGTGAAAAGCATACTGAAAAAGGTATTTCCTGTGTATTGTGAAAGAAACAAAAACCATAAATGATAATGACCATACATGTAAGTAGTACTATATACATGTGTACAATCTCCCAGGCAGGTACAACTATCTCAGCAGACATGCAGACTTAATGCTATCTATGTGACATACAATGCATTAGGAACAGTAAGATATATGTTTCAGCCATCAACTCTCAACACAATTCTAGCTTGCACTATTTCTCTTTTTTAATTCCAAGAAACAGACAACTGCCTTCCCATTGCCCACTAACCTTCCTGGTAGAGGTAATGAATTTACCATTTACCGGTATCTACTAGAAATATTAGGTGCAGCAGAACTATTAGTTTCAGCTACTATTACATCTAGCCTAGGCCTGCACTCATCTATCCCAAGAAACAAGTACCCAAGTACAAAGAACATATGCAGCATGCACACAATCTTTCTGCTATCTATTACAAAAAATGATGCAGGTATAGTAGGATAACTCACATCTAGCCTGAACCATTCTTTTTATGCCCAGAAACAGGCAACTGCCTTGCTGTTGCCTGTAACCTTCCCGGCATAGGCAATGAATTGCCCAGTTGAGCTGTAACTGTAGCTTTCCCCTCCCTAGGAATGTTATTAAATTAAGCTGGAAAATTTCAGCTACCCTATTTAGCCTATAGGCCTGCAATGTTTATTCCAAGAAACAGGCAACTGACTTGTTGTTGCCCACTAACTAAAAGTAATGAATTGCCCTGAGCTGTAACTGTAACTGTAGCTTTTTTTTGTCCCTGGGCACAGACTGCCCGTCATTTTAACAACCCCCACTAGAGGGAGCCACTGCAAGGGTTCCACTGAGGACACATAGAAGGGCCAGCAGGGTCAGGGACAGCTCCAGGGTGGTAAACAGTATGGATTGGCTAGCGGATACAGGATCAAGAGGTCATTGGTTCGATCCCTGGCATTCCTGGTGAGACATTGTGTCCTCTGAGGACACGTGGCAGGGTTGTCAGGATCAGGGACAGCTCAGGTAAAAACTGCAGAAGCTAAATACTAGTAGTGTGGCTTGCATAGGA